AAGAGGGTGTTAGACACCTTGGAACTGGAGTTATAAACAGCTGTGAGCCACCATGTAGGTGCTGGGAACTGAACCTGGGTCTTCTGTAAGAAGAGTTAATGCTCTTAACTGCTGAGTCATCTCTCAACCCCAGGGCTAAGTCTCTTAAATTATTGCAGCATGAATCAATTCAGAGAATACAGAAATGGTACTGTCAGTTATATCCAATCAATCCAACCAATACTGTCCAAGTGATCAAAACTACTATAAAAAGAATTAATATATTATATTTAATGAAAGACCTGTTCACGACAAAGTAGTGTTTTCAATTGAAGTTCACTGCTGCAGAATATAATTAAAGCCAAAACAGAATGTTTGGGTCACATTAGGAAGAAAAATAACCTACACTTGAGGTTCATATTACAAATAAGAGATTATCTCTTCCTCCTTAAACAGAACTAATGAAAACCACCTTTCAGGGAACACTTAATCTCCCATCTAAAGTTTTGCTGTTTTATGGGCAATGCAATGAGAATTTTCAGGTCTCTAACTTATCAGTGAGTAGGAAGCATTCCCCTGAGGTATTCTCTAAGAAGAAGTATATTTTATTCCTTAACTACTGGCTTTCTAGGTAGTGAGCATGTAGACCAATTATGTTTTCCCAGTTGTGTGTCTTGGATCTCATTAATGGATAGTAGTGTTTTTGCACCATTTTTAGAGTCAATTCCTTGGACTGAAAACATTTATTGAAGCTAAGGTTAATTTTTTTCAAACAAATTTTAAAATTTAGAGCTTTTGCCTATGAGATGCTATACACAAAAGTAATTTTATGAACTCAGAAAAAAAGTTAAATATTATGTAGGTTTGAACACAGTTGTAAATTTGTTCACCAATATCAACTTTCATTATTTTTATTTCACTTATTCATCTCTTGAAGATGTTTCTTTCTGATTCGTTTTCCCAACTGTAGCAGAAACTGGCAGATGTTCAATGCAATACTGCTCTCTCATCCTCTTCCGTTGTAATAAAAGACAATGCCAGACAGTTACAGTATGCAGCCTTCAGTCTCAGCTGTTAGGTGTGGTCATATACGTTTATTTTAGTGCAATTAATAGTAAGCTTAGTCTATCCAAACTTTCCCTTCCAGCTACTCTGGCCACCTGTGTGTAATCCTCTCCTCCACTGGGTATAGCTAGCTGACCTATGTAAGTAAGAGGGGTTTTGCAGAAATAATGGAATGTAATTTTCACGCAAGATAAAATATATTGATGATTTTTCTTGTTTTTTAGATAACTTTTTGTGAGGAAAATCAGCCTTCATGTCAGGAAGACATTCAGGCTGCTTCCTAGAGCAGTCTGTGTGGCAAAGCCAGAGGCTATTTGCTCACGACCAGGACTAATGAGTCATTGGAAGCAGACACTAGGCCACAGTCAAGCCTTTATAAGCTTGTACTTATAAGGCAAGATAGAAAGCCAGGGAAAAGGCAGGGATTCCAGATGAAGCTTCTCACCAGCAGGGAAAGAAAATTCCAGCACAGTTAAAGACTAGCTGCTTAAGGCCTTTCTCCTTTTCCGGCTATAAACTTGTAGGTTGTTTTGTTAGTTAGTCCATTTGTTTGTTTTAGGAATTCCACCAGAAACTCCAGTTACAGGAAGAGGAAGAGAAGACGTACTAAAACCCTTGTTCAGCCCCAGCAGCTCCTGGTTTTACTTTAACCAGATTATAATACCATTTAAGATATCTCTGGAGTCATCCTACAAGCTCACTTATCGAGAGAGAGAGAGAGAGAGAGAGAGAGAGAGAGAGAGAGAGAAATGGTGTCTATGGCTAGTACGATACGATGAACTGCAGCCTCCCTTAAGGCACCTGTGCCTATCCCTGGGTATGTCTTACTCTGCTGCTCTCTTCTGAGCCCATATCCATATTTAGGTGTCTTGCTCTCTGAGTGTCTCTCTTCTTAACCCTCATGCTAGAGCCTTCATTACAATATCCACCTCTGCTTCAAACTAGCTAGACCTGAAATTCTTTTCTGCATTGAAGCCGCAAATCCCATTTGGCCTGAGTCAAGGTCCCTAAGACCTCCTCAGGCTGCTGAAAGGGACTGCATGGAACTGTGCCTCTGTCCCCTCACTGCAGACACACTAGACATCTGACTGCAACCTCCTGAAGGACCCTGAGCCAGAACTGTGGTGCTAAGTCACTTCCAAGCTACTCACCCATAAAAACTATGAAATACTAAATGCTAATTACTTCACTAGGCTGCTAAGCTTATTACGCAAGAATAGGTAAGTGATACATTCATGTGCACAGGGGTGCTCATGGTAGTCTTAGAAATCATGCACTAAAGATAACAGAGCTGCAATGAGCTCCAGCTCCTGGAAGACTGTGCAGAGGGTCCTCCACTTCCCACATCAATCTGGATTGTCGAGAAAGAAAATCCATGACCAAGAAGGGTATCCCAAGGGTATAAGATTAATTGAACACAAATCATTCACTCTAAGTACAGAACCCCAGTAGATCGTTTTCATAAATGCAGAAAAAGATTTTGTTACAATTCATCACCCTTTTGTTAAAAACGTCACGAGTTAGGGAATAGGAATGAGTGTCCTTACTTTCTTATAAGATAGTTATAGAAACATACAGCTAACATCACACTCAAGAATCATACATTCTCGTCAGATCAGAAGCAAGGAGTGGAGGCCTCTCATGTTTTCTACTCAACAATAGAGATACTAGCTATTATATTATTATATCATATATATTATAGCTATTATGTTATAATGCAATAAGGAAAGAAGGAGAGAGAAAAGAATAAAGATTTGAAAAAAGTAAGACTATCTCTGTAGACATTACAAATTATATATGTATTCTAATTCAGCCACAACCCCTGAATTAGGATGAATTTGATCTGAGCATGCTTTTAATTTTATAAGTTACACTGTATGTTACTTCAACTTAGGCAAAATTGTGATGTCATAGAAATTTAGTACTTTCATGTCTTTTGGAGTTTCAAGCATATATTTAATCCCAGTCTCCCAACAACTGTTAGCCCAGAGCTAACAGATCCTCCTGGTCTATTTTTCTCCAATAATATCTAATTATTACTTCTCTTTTAAAACACCTTTTATTATTAAAAACACATATCCTCTCATGTTTGAGATCCCTAGTCAGGTGAATTGTCTCAGAGCTGTCACTGAGGAAAATATCAGAAAAATGATTCCAAACCAATAAACTTAGGTTCTCATGTGTTGTTACTCCCAAGGATATCTGCACTGAAATAATGAATAATAATGTTTGTATGAAATAACAATGAAGTTAAGATAAGAAGGATGCCACAGTAGAAACACTAGGTATTGAATATGATAATTTTACATACTATGGAACACTAGGAATTTAGTTTGTCTTTTTAAAAAGAAAACAACAGTAAGCTAAGTGTAATGGCTCCTGTCTGTAATCTCAGTGCTCAGGAGACTGAGCCAGGAGAAGCACCCTGAGTTAGAGGCAATCCTAGACTACATAACGAGTTCCAGGCCAACCTCGAATACAAAGACCCTACCTCAACAAGCAAAAGAAGAAAAAAAAGAAGGAAATCCAGCAACAATAAAAAACTCATATGTTAAAAAAAATCTTCAAAATCTCATTGAGTGAGTAATCTCTGACCAGGGACTGAAAGAAGTATGTAGTCCAAAGGCATCGCCTGACAAATTAGCACTGAACACATTAAGTAAATTATGTGAATTGAGTTTACTTACCATGAACTCACAGTAAGAAAAAGTCAGGGATTGCCACAGCTTATAATTTAATAGGCATTTCTCTCCAATTTAAAAAATGTTCGAGGCATCAGAATTCTAAATATTCAGTGTAAGCTTGCTCTAGAAATAAACTTACCCTTTCCTGTCCAAGGGCATCTAAAAATAAAGTAACCTTGGTCTTTAGTATAAGGTAGAAGAAATTAAAGAAAAACAAAACAAAACCAAACCAAACCAAGGTTTTAGAAACTGTGTTGCCAAAATCCTCAAGCTTAAGAATTTAAGGACTCCCTTGTCTCTAGTATACCCACATGATTATTAAAAACAAATGCAAATTTGAGAGCACCCACCTGTAGTCTCAGACTCTACAGTAGAGTTCTGATAAATGAAACTCCAGTTAAACTGAATGTCTCAAAGTAAAAGTAAACAAAATAAAACATATAAGTGGAAAGGCACCATAAGTAAATGATAAACTTCAGGAACATGAGTACTACCTCTTGTCTTAGTTACTTTTTTGTTACTGTGATAAAACACCATGACCAAGGGAACTTATCAAAGGAAGAGTTTATTTGAGCTTATGGTTCCATGAGAATTAGAGTTGGTCATGGGAGGGAGCCATGATGTCAGGAGAGGACTGGAGTAGGAGTAGAGGATCACATCTTCAAGCAGGCACAGGAAGCAGAGAACAGCTGGAGAGCTGGCAAAACTTAAGAACTCTCTAGAAGCCCGTCCCCAGTAACGTGTTTCCTCCAGCATGGCCACACCTTCTAAGACATCCTAAAACAGCGCCACCAACTAGGGACAAAAATGTCCAAATACTTGGAGCCTATGGGGGACATTCTTACATTCTCATCAAACCATCACATATATCTACACACATCAGACAAACTATGAAGTTAAACATTGAAGTTAAAATGTTTACTATGCTAGAACAAAATAAGAAATTAGCTTCAAATTCTATACTAGGAATAAAATATTTCTAAAACATACTCAGAAATTGGTAGAAAAGTAATATATTATAAACAAATGAAGTTTCTCCTTGGAATTCAACACTGGAAAAACACTAGTTAAAAAATTTATCACATGAACAGGTTAAAGGAGAAAACATAAATGATCATCTTAGAGGCAGAAAAAATGTACAAAAATTTAACATTTATTCATAATAAAAAACACTTGTAGCTAACTGGAATTAGAATAAACTTCCTTAATCTAAGAAGAATAAATATAACTAAAGAAAACATTGAGTTTTTTGTTTCTTTCTTTTTGAGACAGGCTCTTCATATATATATATCCTCCAGAGAAAAATGGCTCTTCCTCTCCCATCAACGATCAGCTGCCAATAGCTCCTCATCTGAGGGTAAGTCCCTCTCCTATCCAGACTGGAACTTTGACCAGCTTAATTTTGTGCAGGTCTTATGCAGGTAACCACAATTGCTATGGGTTCATGAGTGCAGTATCTCTGCCATACACAGAAGACAGCATTTCACAGTCTGCCTCCCCGTCATCTGGCTCTTACATTTTTTCCTTCCCCCTCTTCTTTGATGTTCCCTGAGCCTCGGAGGTTGATATAGATGTCCCATTTTTGGGCTTAGGACTCATGGTCACTTATTCTCAGCATTTTGGATCGCTATGACTCTCTGTATTAACTGCTTCTCACTTCACAAAGAAACTTCTCTGACCAAGGGCAGCCAAGAGCTATGGGTATAAACATAAATATTTAGAAGGCAGTTTGACAACATGACCATTTAACAAAATAATGTTAATAATAGGATCCTCTCTAGGGCCTAGTAGTGATGGGGTCCTTTGGGTTTATGTCCAAAGCTGGGTGGTATATGGTAGTTCTATTTTTAGCTTTTTGAGAAACTTCCACGCTGATTTCCAGAGTGACTGCACCAGTTTACATTCCCACCAACAGTGGCGAAGGGTTTCCTTTCTCTACATCCTCACCAAAATTTGTTGCCATTTATTTTCTAGATGACAGTCATTCCAATTAGAGATGGAATCTGAGTAGTTGTAGCTTACATTTCCCGAATGGCTAATGATGTTAAACATTTAAAAAAAATATTTATAAGAGATTTGAAGTTCTTCGGAGAACTCTGTTCATTTCTATAGCTCAGGTTTTTTTTTTTCTGTTTGGGTTGCTTATTTTTTTTGGTGTTCAGTTTCTTGAGTTTCTTGTGTAATCTAGACACTAATCCTGTCAGATTTATAGTTGGCAACGATTTCCTCCCATTCTGTGTGCTGACTCTTCACTCAACTGATAGTTTCCTTTGCTATACAAAAGCTTTTTAATTTTATGATGCGCAACTTGTAATTATTGGCCTTATTTTCTAAGTGGTTATAGTCCAATTCAGATAATTGTTAGCTCTGCCTTTATTATGAAGTGTTTTTCCTACTTTTTCCTCTTGCAGTCCCAGAGTTTCATGTCTTATGTTGAGGTCTTTGATCCAGAGTTGAGTTTTGTATAGAATGAAAGATGAGGATCTATTTTCATTCTTCTACTTGTAGACATCAAGTTTTCCCAGTACCGTTTGTTAAAGGTTGTCTTTTCTCCAACGTTTATTTTTGCCAACTTTGTAAAACATCAGGCGACTTCAAGTTGTGTGGCATTGTACCTGGGTCCTCTATTCTATTCCATTGATTTACACATCTGTTTTTGTACCAGTACCATGCTGTTTTTGTTGCTGTGGCTCTGTAATATAACTTGAAATCAGGTATAGCTCAGGATTGCTCTGGTTATCTGGGGATCTTTTGTGCTTCCATGTGAGTTTTAAGTTGCTTTGTTTTTCTATTTCTGTGAAGAATGCTACTGGAAGTTTGATTGTGATGGCACTGAATTTTCACATTGCTTCTGATGGTGATTTTTCATAATATTAATCTTACCAATCCATGAACACAGGAGGTCTTTTTATATTCTATGCTCTTTCTCAATTTCTTTCTTCAGTGTTTTAAAGTTTTCATTATAGAGGTCCTTTCATATCCTTGGTTAGGGTTATTCCAAGGTTGTTGTTGTTTGACTTTGTTTTGTTTTGTTTGGGGAGCTGCTGTGAATGGAAGTTTTCCCTGATTTCTTTCTCAATATGCTTGTCATTGGTATACGGGAAAGCTACTGGGTTTGTGGACTAAATCTGTATTTTGCCCCTGGCTGAAAGTGTTGGTCAGTTTCTAAGAGTTTTATGATGGGATCTCTAGAGTCTCTAATGTATATAATCATATTACCTGCAATAGAGATACTTTGACGTCTTTATTTACCGTTCTTATCCCTTTTGTTTTCTTCTCTTATTGATTTAGCTAAGACTTCCAGTGCTATACTGAGTAAGAATGAGATAGTGGACACCTTTGTCTTCTACCTGGTTTTAGGGAAAATATTTAAAATTTTTCTCATTTAATGTGTTAGCCTAAGTTTGTCATATATAGCCTTTATTATGGTGAAACAATAGTATTTATTATGTCCTTCTATTCCAAATTACTTTAGGACTTTTAACATGAAAAGATGTTGGATTTTTGTCAAAAGCCTTTTCTGTGTCTATCCAGATAAACAGTATTTCTGTACTTGAGACCATTTATGTAATTTATAACATTTACTGAATTATGTATATTGACCAATCCCTGCATCTCTGAAATAAAGCCAATATAATCATGGTGAATGATTTTTTTTTCTTAAATGTTTTTATTGATTCTTTGAGAATCTTGTAAAATGTACTTTCATGATACTCAGACCCCACCCCATCTCCATCCATACTTTACTACTGCCCAACATCATATCCTATAATATTTTTTAAAGGTCTATTGAGTCTAATGCTCTTGGTGCGGGTCCATCCCTTGAAGCCTGATTGACCTACCAGGCATCACACCTTTAAAGAAAACTGACTCTCTCTCTCCCTGAAGCTATTAATCACCAATAGATCCTCATCTAGGGCTGGAGCTTCTTGTCCACCTCCCCATTTATGCTGGGATTTTGTTTGGCTTGTATTTACACAGGTCTTGTGCATGCTCTCACAAGTGCTCTGGGCTTATATGTGCAACTGCCTTGTGTTAAGAAAACATGGTTTCCTTGTATTCATCCAGCCACCACCTGTGGCTCTTACTATCTTCCTGCCTCCTTTTCTGTAATGAATGATCCCTCAGCCTTGAGAGAAGAGAGTGTGATATAGGTGTCTGATTTAGGGCTGAGAACTTTACAGTTTTTTATTCTTTAAATGGTAACCAGTTGTGGGTCTCTGTGTTAATCACCATCTGCTGTAGGAAGAAACTTCTCTGGTGAGAGTCTTTAGGAGCTGGCTTAATACTATGTCCATTTAAGCAGAATAACAGTAGTAGGTTCTCCCTTATGGCCTGTGACATGTTTAGCCACAGGCTCTTGGCCCCGATAACAGTGCCACGTATGGGCCCCATTTTTGAAGTGGGCCTTAAATCCAATCAGAAAGTGGAGGTGGTTGGTTACTTCCATAACATTCATGCCACCATTGTGCTTGTCAGGCCAGTCATTAACATACCTTGCAGGGTCCACTGCTGGGTAGCATGAATAACACCTTCTCACATCATGAAAGCTAGCCAATAGGAATGAATCTGTGAGGTCAGTACTTGTTTGATTTCTCTATGTTTTACAACTCAAGTTATGTAGTGTCTTCAGCAACACAGTCTTACCATCAGGTTCTTGTGGGTAACCAAGAGCAATGGCAATAGCCAGTATTGCTTGAGGGTCCTTGGAGTCCCTCTGGTCAACAACTCTAAAAGAAGGAGCCCGCTCCTGGCGTTGAGCTTTTTATTTGCTAGTCTATAGTATCTGGTAGGGGTGTTGTCCCTCCCCCATTATAGGATAACTCCATTTAAACTCATTTTATGTTGTAGATGTGTATATTGTAAGAAGACTCTAAAGTAGTAGACTTCCATATGACTCTTTAAATGACTGTTAGTGTTAGCTACCCCTTTCCTTACTCCCTTATGCTTTGCCCTTCCAGCTCACACCCCATTTAACTTTTTCTACTCCATTATTCCTCTTTCCTACATATCACCGAATTATTTCTCCCCTCTAATGACCCTTCCACATGACTCCTTATTAGTTTCCTGACATCTATGGCATTTCAATTGAAAGACACATATCTAAAGATTCAAAGCTAGCATTTACTTGTGGGAGAGAACATATGATGTTTGTGTGTCTAGGTCTGGGTTACCTCACTCACTGATTGTTTCCAGTGAGTTTTCCATCCATTTACCTGTTTTCCATCCATTTACCTCTGAGTGTCGTTTTTCTTAACAGCTGAGTATTAGCCCATTGTATAAATGTGCCATACTTTCATTATACATTCATCATTTTTTGTTTACTCCCACTTAAGAGGGACTTTTCTTTTTTCTTTTTTAAAATAATTTATTGAGAATTTCATACATGCTCTGCAAGAGCAGTCAGTGCTCTTAACCGCTGAGCCATCTCTCCAGCCCCCATAATTTCTTTTTAAAAAAAATTTCTTGAGAATTTCATACAGGCATATAAGCATATAAGGTGTTTTGATCAAATCCATGTCCACTCCCTCCTCTCCAACTCCTCCCATATCTCCCCATGACTTTTTTCTGATAACTTCATGCACTCTTTCTTCTTTTTTGCTACTCTAACATCCCCTCCTCTGAAGAGGTAACCCTAAAATCTTTTAGGATTTGATAAGAGCTCTAAAATACTTTTGACATTTTTGGCTTTTGGAGGAGATTATGTTGCTAAGAGGCCCAAGGACATTTTGATTTTTATCCAAGAAACCGGGTACTTATCTTTGGGGTATTTTTACACTAACTGCCTAGCCAATTCCTACCTCCTATTCTCATCACACCATCCTCTGAAGAGGTTACCCAAATTGCTGATAGGGAATTGGGATGCAGACCACTCTAGCTTCTTCCATGCTGAATAGGGATAGAGGGCGAGGCAATTGGGGTACCCCTTCAGTGGGTCTATCTAAAAGACTTCCAAATTGCATAACTCTTATTTGTAGGGATAAAAGAAAGTTTTTGACTGGTGATAGGAGATGTGAAGGAGAAGTAAAGGCAAGAGTAGTTAGCATTACAAGTTCTAGACAGGGACCCAGAAAAAAAGTCAGAACAGGGAAAATTTCAAATGTTCATATCAGAGTCCATTGGAATTTCTTGAAGAGAGCTTCCAAAGGCATCCCTCTATTGGGCTCCTCCTCATTTTTCTTTCGTGTGCCAAGGCTTTACTTGAGAGTGATGGACTCAGAATTTGTTTTCAGGCACTTTGATAGCTGTTGGAGCGGCTAGAATCAGTGTCAGTTCCCTCTCAAAGGCTTCTAGATGGGGAGGAAAACAAATTTATCCGTCATTTTACAAAAATAGCTGGTTGTCTCCCTTAGCTACAGGTGGGCACTATAGTATTGAAAACCAAGATTTGAAGTCTTACATCTGAGCAACACTTTCTGCTTAGAAACAAAATCATCACTGAGAAATAATTGAAAATTTGTTTGTTAATGTTATTATGACCTGTAATCATAAAAAAGAAAATGAGACTGTGAAGGATGTTAAATGAACATGGGAATGGAGATATTTTCCAAAATAGAAAAAAATTGAGAAAACCTAAGCAAGTGATGAAGGTCTGTGTAGATTTGTTATGATATATAAAGGATGAGACAAAAATAATATACACATAATCTTAGAAATTCTAAGGTCATAGTTTAGTCAACTAGTTCAAGGAGCAAAATATATACCCAGTCAAGGTTTATCTGAGAATGTTTGGTTTTTGTCCAAGCTGTATCTACATAGCTCATGGTAATTAAAAGGACCAGACTGGTGGAACTAACCTTCTTGGATGTTTAACAGACATACTTTGAGGTCTATACTAATCTGGTCAGAGGGACTTAAAGGACGGTGTTTTGTTCCTTGCCCTCTAAGGTCAACTAAGTTCCAGGGGACTTTGGAGCATCTCTCAAAATGTCCTGTAACTGTGGTGACCCACCTGTCCTCTTATTCAGGGAGGCCATGGAGACCCCACCAGATGGACTTGAACCAGTGTCCAGTCTACAAAGAGGAGGGTCAACTCAGAGGAAACATTTCCTCCATGCTTCCAAGTGAAGCCAGCCATGGTCAAGCAGGACCTTTGACTTACCTTCACATAGATGGAACTGGTAAAAGAAAAGGAGCCAGGAGCTCCTCCCAAGCCCATGTGACCCCAAGGAACAGAACCTCAAACCATCTTAAGAGTAACAATAAATTGGTTTTATTTTGAACTCCTTCTTTTACTTTATCCCCGAGGTTCCTTGTATAACCCTCCTTCCCCACTCCCATTAAAATAACCCCATTTTTATCCCTATCTCCCTTATTAATACCTGTTTCCTACTGTTCTTCTCTTTCGGGTTCTTTCTTTTCCTTTACCTCCCTGTTTACTTTCCATTATCCTGGTTCCTGTAGTTATGTCTGGATACATACTCACTTATCAGGATTTGGTGCTAGGATCCACATAAGAGGGAGAACAAACATTTGTTTTTCCTGAGTCTGTGTTACTTCACTTAGTATAACAGTTTCTAGTTCCATCCATTTACCTGCAAATTTCATGATTTCATCTTTCTTTACTGATGAGTAAAATGCCATTGTATAAAGGAACCACATTTTCATTATCCACTCGTCAGTTGAGGGACATTTAGGTTGCTTCCATCTCTTAACTATTGTGAAAAGAGCAGTAAGAAACATGGATGTACAAGTGTCTATGCAATAGAATGAGTTATTTGGGTATATGCCAAGGAGTGGTATAACTGGGTCAAATGGTTGGTTCATTTTTAGATTTTTTAAGAGTTCTCCATGCTGCTTTCCATAGGGGTTGAACAAGTCTGCAGCCCCACCAGCAGTGGATGAGTGTTCCCCTTTCCCCACATCCTCTCCAACATTTGGTGTCATTTGTTCTCTTGATCTTAGCCAGTCTGACTGGGGTAAGGTGAAATCTTAAAGAGCTTTTAATTTGCATTTCCCTCATTACTAATGATGTTGCACACCTTTTAAGATGCTTCTTAGCCATCTTTATTTCTTCTTTAAGAATACTGTTCAGCTCCTTAGCCCATCTTTTAATTGGGTTACTTCCTTTCTTGATTCTTTGTTTTTTGGGTTAGTTATATATATTCTGAGTGTTAAACCTCTGCCAGACGTGTTGCTGGTGAAGATTTTCTTCTACTCTGTGTGGTTTTTCTTTTCCCTTCCTTGGTTGCTTCTTTTGATGTACAGAAGCTTTTTAGTTTAATGAGGTCCCATTTGTTGATTCTTGACCTGTTTCCTGAGCAATAGATGTCCAGTATAGAAAATCCTTTCCTACACCTATATCTTGTAAGTTATTGCCAATGTTTTCTTCTGATAGTTTCAGAGTTTCAGGCTTCACATTGATGTCTTTGATCCATTTGGAATTGACTTTTGTGAGGTGAAAGATAGGGGTTTAGTTTCATTCTTCTACAAGTGGAGATCCAGTTTTGCCAGCACCATTTGCTAAACATGCTGTCTTTCCTCCAGTGAATGTTCTTGGCCCCTTTGTCAAATATCAGGTGGCTGAAATTGCATGTACTCATATTTGGGTCTTTACTATTGTTCCATTGATCTATGGGTCTATTTTTTTTAGATTAAAAAATATTTTATTAATAGTTTTGCCTATTTTATTGAATTTCTGTGTATTTCATACATAACATCTTTTTTGTAATTTTTTGTGATTTTTTAAATTTAATAACCACATGATTAGAAGAAGCATTTCATTACAGCTTTAGCGTATTCAGTAACAATTTCCAGAGCAAGGGTACATCTCTTTCAAAAGTAGCTGTAAATTTTTAGGTTCACAGATGAACTAATACAGTTATACAATATTGAACTTAGTATAAACCCTGTAAGATATAAAATTAAATGAGTTTTTAGCCTTTAAAGAACATCTCCATTTCATTTTAAAATATGCTGTTTCCTACATTTTTAATGCTACTAACACTTAGATGTTTGCACATGTGTCTTTAATCTCTATGGATCTAATTATTACTAATCACAGTCAGTTACACTCGGATCCTTGGTGCCTGAGTATGGATATAATGTCACCAGATAGATTTCAATGGCAGTGTTTATCACCTCGACTAATTAACATGAAGTAAATTTTTATGCTTCCTCCTCATATATGTCTTTTAAAAATTTTGTTTTTCTGTGTGTATATCATACAGAACATCCCAAACAATCTTATTCATCTATATACCCACTTTCCAAATGGCGCCCTCCCATAGTCCCCCCCCCAACCCCAATGGAGGCCATATACTCTGTCATCCCTGTTACTGTCCACTGTGCTGTTGGCGCCCCCATCCATTCCCCAGTGCTTGTCCATCTGCTGAATCTAGTAGCCTATCTAGGGATCCTTGTTTTAGGAAGATCAGCTGTTCCTCATCGAGCACCAATCAGTTGTCAATATTCCTTTAGATAAGATTGGGGTCTGCTGTTCATTTTCCCAGTTCTGTGCTGGGTTACTGTCTGGGAGTCTCTTGGGCCACCCTGGCCAATAACTCAAAGGAAGGCACCTCCTGTCTGGCAGTGTTTCCTGTTATGTAGGCTTTAGCTATACATATGGACTCTTAAAAAAATTATATTGATCTACGGGTCTATTTTTGTGCCAGTACCGTGTTGTTTTTATGACTATAGCTCTATAATACAGCTTAAAATCTGGTATAGTAATCACCCCAGCATTGCTCTTCACTCTCAGGGTTGTTTTGGCTATCCAGGGTCTCTTGTGCTTCCATATGAATCTTAGGATAGATTTTTCCAGTTCTGTGAAAAATATCATGGGGATTTTGATTGGCATTGCATTGAATCTATATATGACTCTTGGTAGGATGGTCATTTTCACAATATTAATTCTTCCAATCCATGAGCATGGGAGGTCCTTCCATCTTCTGATGTCTTCCTCAATCTCTTTCTTTAAAGATTTAAAATTTTCATTGTAGAGGTCTTTAATGTCTTTGGTCAGGTTTATTCTGAGATTTTTTTTTTAACTATTGTGAAAGGGAATGTTTCCATATGCTCTTTCTCTGATTGCTTGTTATTGGTATATAGAAAGGCTACAGACTTTTGTAGATTTATCATGTAACCTGCCACTTTACTGAAAACATTAATCATTTCTAGGAGTTTTCTGGTGGAATTTTTGGCATCTCTTAATTAAAATATCATATCATCTGTAAAAAGGGATAATTTGATCTCTTCTCTTCCAATTATTACTCCTTTAATTTTCTTCTCTTTTCTTATTGCTCTTGCAAGAGTTTCAAGCATTAAGTTAAAAAGGAGTGGAGATACTGGACAGCCTTATCTAATTCCTGATTTTAATGGGACTGCTTCCAGTTTTTCTCCATTTAGAATGATGTTGGCTGTGGGTTTGTTGTATATAGCTTTAATTATGTTGAGGTATGTTCCCTCCGGTCCAATTCCCTCTAGGACTTTGAACATAAATGCATGTGGAATTTTGTCAAAGGCCTTCTCTGCATCTATTGAGATGACCATGTGGCTCTTGTCTTTGTGTCCATTTATATGATTTATGATGTTTATTGACTTGCATATATTGAACCATCCTTCCATCT